AGATTTTGAAAACTGAAGACTGAACTGACTTCTAAATATGAAGCACATAATAAGTTTCATTTCTCAAGATTTCAAGTCTTTACTCTTTGATTAAACCTTAATATTGAAAACAGAAAAAATTAGACTCTTTATTGAAAGATCTCAGAAATTCTGAAGCCAGTTGACTTGTATCTGTAAAAATAACATGGTAAGCGAAATTCTATCAATTTCATATCTTGAGAGATAAAACCATCGATAAAAGTAAAGGTAACCAACCCAAATATTATATAACCGCATACTACTATCACAATAATCTGGGTCGATATGTTACACGTTATACCAGAACGCGACCGATCTTGCTTTATTATGATACTAAAAACTGGTTTCCAAAATTGAAAGTAACCATTACTCGAAGATTTAATTTACTTTGCTGCAAGTTCTGTAATTCACTTTCTCGATGTTATGCGATCAAATATTTATTGATTTATAAACAATTTCCTACTACTGAAACTTATCGAGGCATGTTTGGATCAAAATACACTCGGATCCTCTCACCGGTTTTTTACCTTGTATTGACTTCCTTGTTAAACCAACAAGTTAAGTTGGAATAATTTTTGACAACTGACAGTTGATGGCGACTACTTGTTGGTCTAATAATATATGCAAAATTCCTTTAATTCAACCGCAAAGAAACGAAATAAATGGAAATGGGTGACCATTCTCCAAACCGGTCGGCCTTCACAAGGATTTCGTTGTGTGTACAAACGCTACTTTTTTTTTAATCGATTTGTTGCGTTTGAGAATTACATTGTCCGATATTTATTTTGCTCCGATTCGATGCATAAAATCGGACATGTTTTTGCCGGATGTTCGGACAATAATTTGATTTCCGTATAAAATATGGCCACTTGATTCAGTCGAAATCTCAAAGTTTTCAAACAAGGCCGTGTACCGTGTAAAGCCTAGTACTCATAACTGCGAAATTCGCTTTTTTTTGACACTGCGCCGACAATTTGACGTTAAATGCGTGAATCAAACGTCAAATTGTCAAAGCAATGTCAAAAAATAGCGAATTTCGCTGTTATGAGTACTAGGCTTAAATTGGGACGTTTTATGAGTTTCGGTTTTCTTTGTTGAGCTTGATTTTTTGACATTTGACAATTTAAGCTAACTCAACTAATACTCATTAGCCTTTCAGTACCTATTCATACTTTTAACATCGCTAAAACGTCGGTCGTTTCTAGTTAATTGTTAACTTAAGCTAAAGATAAATGAAAGAGGAAGAAAACTGAAAATCAAATTTACTGCCAATTAAAATGGCGGCTCGTTTCAAGTCAATGACGATTCGTAGAATTTCAGTGTTCAAACACATTACGAAAATGACAGCTAACGCACAAATTCATTGATTCATGTTTCCGCTGTTAGGTATTTGATTTTTAACAAAGGACACTTCTTATGGGTGTATTTGGTTTTCTGTCAAATTCAATGAAATTTTGATATGTGTTAGACCTTGACTTCCTGATAAAAAGTTCTCATGGGCCCGAACCAATCCTATAACTAGTTTTTAAGATACAGGTAGTTTAAACAGTAAGAATCATTGCAATTGGCACACACTATATAAACATCCCCCGTAATGTGTCAAAATTTAACTTCATTGACACACAGGTAATGTCAATATCTTGTCAGATTGATAAATTAGTGGTGATCATAATAGTTTTAATAAAATGTTGAAGGAAAAAAATATTGGTACACCGCTGCACTGAATAAATCTATTGGTTAGAATTTCGACTTAATACGAGGGATGATAAAAGAGAATAGTATGTGCCAATTGCAACGATTCCCACTGTACACATTTTATATGCATTTACATCTACCTACCTATCACCTGAGCGTGAGGATACCTGTCCATCCTGGTATAATTAGGTTGTATCAACGGTAAATGCATATAAAATGTGTACAGGGTGTTTTTTTTTATATATTGACACCCCACCTACAGCCTTTACCTTTACAGGTAGAAGAAAGGTGTGAATACAAAAGTTGTACAGTTTTGGCTGAATTTTTAGAAACCATAGTCAGAAACAAAATTTGAATGTCAGAAATGTGAAGTTTTGTATCCTTTCAGCTTTTTTCTAATGGGATGCCCTATATTTCATTCTATATTCTTGAAGAGCATAATGCCCCGATTCCAAAAATATATAGTTTGTCTATATTTAATTGAACAGTCTCTCATATATTCGGCTTCAAAAATTGTAAAAATACTATCCTACTACTGATTTTGTGAATCATTCTACCTGTACAGGTGAAAGCTGAACCAAATACACGGTTCCACCAAATACATACAAACTATATAGTTTTGAAATCGGGAAATTGTGCTCTTCAAGAATATAGAACTAAATATAGGGCATCCTATTTGAAAAAAGCTGAAAGCATGCAACATTTCATATTTCTGACATTCAATTTTTGTTTCTGACCATGGATTCTAAAAATTTAGCCAATACTGTACCAGCTGTATGCAACATCCTCTTTTAACTTAAAAGCGCTTTTTAAAACTGGTCACTTTTAAAAATGTGTATTCTAAGCCATACAAATTTTTAAAGGTACCAGTGTTAAAAAGCGCTTTTAAGTTAAAAGAGGATGTTGCATACAGCTGTACAACTTTTGTATTTACAGCTTTCATCTACTTGTAAAGGTGAAGGCTGTAAGTGGGGTGTCAATATACAGGGTGGAAAATTTAAAAGGATCCACCTGGATTTTCTCGAAAATTATCAGGAAATTAAAAAAACGCCGAAACATGTCGATTTTGTTTGCAAGGGGGACACTTTTTGGCTATTTCAAAATTTTTCTAGATTGCACCCCCTTACCGGGGTGAGTTGCACCCTCAAAAGTTGAATAGGGAAACTGGGTCGAGTGCTCCCTTGTTTGAGAGGTATTTGAGATGACTTTACAGATCTGTAATTTATTTCGAAATCTGACTACTAGTTTTCAAGACATTCGCCTCGGAAGTTGCCATGGGGCGAAAAGAGAACGTGTTTTTTGTACATTTCTACAAGAAAAAATTGAAATTCCTGAAACACGTCAATTTTATTTATTTTGAACCTTTGTTTCTTTGTTAGTTTGAACCTTCTGAACAACCTTTCAAACATGACCCACTTTTCATTTTTTCACGAAAAACACGTTCTCTTTTCGTCCCATGGCAACTTCCGAGGCGAATATCTTGAAAACTAGATATCAGATTTCGAAAAAAATGACAGATCTGTAAAGTCGTCTCAAATATCTCTCAAACAAGGTACCACTCGACCCAGTTTCCCTATTCAACTTTTGAGGGTGCAACTCACCCCGGTGCAATCTAGGAAAATTTTGAAAAAGCCCCCTTGCAAACAAAATCGACGTGTTTCGGCATTTTTTCAATTTCCTGATAATTTTCGAGAAAATCCAGGTGGATCCTTTTTAATTTTCCACCCTGTATAAAAAAACACCCTGTACTTGAACAATAACTTATTATATAAAGTCAGAATTGGTAAGATTATGCACTTTTTGTCAATTTGCCTTTTGACAGGTAGACAGGAATAAGTAATATTACTTTACTAAACTAGTAACATAATGTGACAAGTTATCCAAGTACAAATGAGTGAATTGTTGCGGAATTTATGGGTGGACTTCTGCGGGACGAGCGCAGGGAGTTCCGCAGCCATCTATTTATCAATATCTTGTTTAATTACGATACTAACCTGACTCACTCAAATGTGAGTTATTCTCATTAGTTTAAAAACCACGTTTCAGGTGAATGTCTTACTTGAATAGTTCAATAGTATATTGGTGAGTAGATGACTGCGGAACTCGCTGCGCTCGTCCCGCAGAGGTCCACCCATAAGCTCCGCAATAATCCACTTATGTGTACTTGAACAATATCTTATTATGTAAAGTCAAAATTTGTAAGATTATCCACTTTTTGTCAATTTGCCTTTTAATAGGAATTAGTTATATTACTTTACTAAACTAGTAACATAATGTGACAAGTTATTCAAGTATAAATGAGTGAATTGTTGCGGAACTTCTGGGTGGACCTCTGCGGGACGAGCGCAGCGAGTTCCGCGACCATCTACTCATCACGTGAATGTCTTACTGGAGCAGTTCAACAGTATATTGTTGAGTAGATAGATACCTACAGTATATTGGTGATTAGATGGCTGCGGAACTCGCTGCGCTCGTCCCGCAGAGGTCCACCCATAAGCTCCGCAATAATCCACTTATTTGTACGTGAATAATAACTTATTATGTAAAGTCAAAATTTGTAAGATTATCCACTTTTTGTCAATTTGCCTTTCAACAGGAATTAGTAATGTTACTTTACCAAACTAGTAATATATTGTGACAAATTATTCAAGTACAAACGAGTGGATTGTTGTGAAACTTATGGATGGACCCAGCCATCTATTCACTAATATGTTGTTCAAGTACCTACAGTACTAACCTGATTCTGAGGTCTACCCATAAGTTCCGCAATAATCCACTTATTTGTACAGGGTGTTTTTTTATATATTGACACCCCACCTACAGCCTTTACCTTTACAGGTAGAAGAAAGGTTTAAATACAAAAGTTGTACAGTTTTGGCTGAATTTTTAGAAACCATGATCAGAAACAACATTTAAATGTCAGAGTATCGATATATAAAAAAACACCCTGTACATTTTTTGGATATTCAAGTACCTGTATCTCAAAAACTAATCGTAGGATTGGTTCGGGCCGATGAGAACTTTTTATCAGGAAGTCAAGGTCTAACTCTTATCAAAATTTCATTGAATTTAACAGAAAACCAAATACCCATAAGAGGTGCGCGGGGTCCTTTTCTTTAGTTTAGTTAACGTTGACCACAAACTTCATAATAATGGACTGAGTCATTTAGGGTATGCGCCATTGACAATGCTGCCAACAGTATTCAAACTTCATCTAATATGACATTTACCATACTTCATCTACATACGACTGATAAAACAAATGAAAAGTTTATGATCGTTTTTAGTTGCCTTTCAGAAGAAGCGTGCAGCTGTAAAAATGTCAAATAAGTGACGTAAGCAACATGCCGAGCGCCGCCGAGGTTAACCGATCCGACTCCAACAGGTCGGACGCGTCCCAAAAACCCAGAGTGTCCTTTAACAGGGACGTGCACGTCAAAAGGATCGGTACGAAATCTGATAATATATACTATTTGTCTTGCTAATCGAATAACACAAAACCTAAAACACCATCAATTGAAAAAATGTATTTTAGAATAACAAGATTAACGTTTATGTTTATTAACCAAAAATATTCGATTATAAGCATGTCGATTTGAGTTTGAGTGAATAAACTTTTAAAATATATAGAAATCTTGCATTGGATTGGTTTGACACAAGAAAGCGTTTAATTGGTCCCTCCTTGTTGTTATACCAGTAACAGGTTTAATCCTACTATCAACATCTATCTCAAAACTGGCATGATTCCACTTTGGATTTTGTATGGAGTCATCCTCAAATTAATCACTTCAACAATCACGTAAGTAGGTTAACGTTACGTTTAAAGCGTCATAACTACTCTTTTTTTTTGTCATAGTTTGTTAGATTTAGTGACGACATATTTCTGTAGACCAATCCAATGACAGGAAAACATTAACGACAAAAATTTCCTTTGGAGCTCGTTTTCTCTAATACATACCCAATGGCTTTAAAAAATCTTTGGTATTTTTAAATGTTCCTTTACTCCTAAACTCAAATTACTGTTTCTAGACAATAATGAAAGCATATTTAAAATATAACACAATTAAACAAGAATTAATATTAATTTAATTTTTATTAACCTTGACACTAAACTATACGCCAAAGAAACTCACCGACCAATAATTGCCTCTATATGGCGGCTATTTATTAAACAAAACAAAAAAAAAATGGGATAAAACCAAAAAGGAGGCAAGTCGAGAAGAGTATGTATACCCTTAATTACAATTTCTTCGCCGTATATACATCGAAGGACAGCAGCAGCAGCGGCGGCAGCAGCAGGAAAATACGAATAATAAGAAAAAAAAAACGAGCAAGAGCAGCCTCTCAAGAGGCCCGTTGTAAAGAATGGTCCAATGTAATTGCTAATATTCATTAATAAATTGCTTGGCAATTGTGAGCTGCAAATGCCTCTATAAATAAAACGGAAGGAGACGGCGCGCTATTGCGGGAATATACACAGCTGGAGCTCGAATCACCTTAACGATGTGAATATAGAAGTTCGAATTTGAAATTTACTTTATTTCATTATGATGTACCGCACTTCTTGCTCGACTCTATTCTACTTTGCTCTACTCTTTTACAATAATGTTTTTCTTTAAACATAGGCTTCAAGAAAACATTACTCGAGGATGTTGACAAAATTCAAACTTAAAACATCATCTCTGAGCTCATAGAGTTAGGTACCTACTCTGTTGAAATTTGTAGATTGTAGATTTCGGGGGAGTCGTTTCGGCTTTTCAGCGATATTTATAAAGGAACATACTACCACTTCGTTTTTGGTAAACACTGTATATATAGCATAGTTCCTTTGCCTTTTCTAAACCCATTCTGGAATGCATTGAAGTAGTTTTTTCTTTCCAAATGCTCTAATCGCGTCTTGAGAATGTTTTCCATTACTTTGCCCAAATAGGAAGTCATCACAATTAGTCTATAGGATTTGTAGTCTTCAGGATCTTTCTTGGGTTTTTTGATCGGAATCCCAATTTGATTTCTCCAATCCTGCGGAATATCTGCTTCCTGTTTCAAGATCTTGTCAAGGAATTGCAACAGTGATTCTCTCATAAAAGGTGGTATTCTTGACAATATCGGATAGGGAATTCCATCGCATCCTGGAGTAGTGTCCTTTCTTGTTTGAAGAGCGATCTCTAACTCTTCTTCTCCTATTTCAAAGCAATCTTCTTCCCTCCGCCTATTCGCCGCCAATTCAGGGTTATTTCCGACAAACGGAGGAGCCAGTGTGTCTAATAGATCACTAACCCAGTTTATCTTGTCTGTGTGTTTGTCTTCATCTACTATATTGTTTGAAATTTTTTTAATAACTCTCCAGACATGTGCAATTGATGATTTTCTACTTAATGTTTCTGTGAACCTCCTAAAACCATCTTTCTTTTTTATCTTTAGGATACGCCTTGTCCTGGCAGCAAGTTGCTTATATTTCAGAAAATTGTCCAAAGTCATGCTCCTTAGGTAATTTCCCATAGCCTCTTGTCTTTCCTCTGTTAATTTGTTACAGTCTTCATCCCACCAGTTTGACTTTGGAGTATATCTATTTTTACTTGATACTAAAACTCTTGGGATAGCTTCCCCAGCAAAGTTATCTATTTTGTCTATGAATGCTTGATAATTCTCAATTTCTTCCCTACGCTTGTAAAACGCCATTTCATATTTTTCCCAGTCAGCTTTATCAGTTTTCCATTTCCTTAGTGGTTTCCTTCTGTGCTTTCGATCTAGCAGCTGTTTCCTGATTTGACATAATATGGTAGGCAAATGATCACTAAGTCCGCTCTTGTTGGAGACCGACCAGTTGCAGAATGTTCCAAGATCCTGGGTTACCATTGTTATGTCCGGGCAACTTCTGTTTTGGTTCGGTGGTGTTATTCTTGTGCTCTTGCCGTCATTTAATATTATTAGATTCTTATCCTCAATGTATTCCATTAAGTGTCTACCATTGTAGTTGTTAATCTGCGAACCCCATAGGCTGTGTTATGCATTTATGTCTCCCATAATAATAAATGGCGCTTGAATACCTCCAAAAGCGTTATGGATGTTGTTTATAGAAAGTGAGACGTCTGGTGGGCTATAAACTGTGACAATAGTCATGTCTTTGATTCTAATTCCCATTGCTTGAAACCTTTGATTGAAATTATTGTTCATATTACATTTAATATGCGGCATATGCCTTCCTTGATCAGTATAGCAATGCCTCCTCTTCCATCATCTCTATCCAATCTATGCGTAACATAATATTTGACTTTCAAGACATAATCTGCCTTGAGCCATGTTTCATTGATAAGTATTACATCTGGGTCTTTGCTATTTATCGCAAAACAATAAGGTCCCTATAGTTTAGTAGAATGCTTCTAATTTTCCGTTGTACTATTTTCATATTGCGTTTCTTCAAACTGTAAATCTCTAATAACGTGTACATCTTCCTGTAGGTATTGGCTGTCTGCGTCCTGATCGTATCACCCAAAAATCTGGGTTCATTGTGTATTTCCCCCATAATAAAGTCCTTCACCTGCTGAGACAAGTTTGTCTTTCCAATGACTTCTTGTATTACATCTAATATTGGTGTTGGCTGTATGGAATATGCACTTCCTGCCACCGAACCTTCCCGGTGCTTATTTGGGTTGGAGTTCTAGCTGATGCAGGAATTAGACATTTTTTATGCGCTTCTCTGTCGTACCCTGGTGAACTGGGCATTTTCCTTTTGAGATTGCATGCCGCCGAGGCATATGAAGGGCTCCTTGGTGTGTTGGGTCTCGATATGTATACATGTCTCTGGTTCACTTCAATTGGTGTATTGGCTCCCGAAGCTCTTTTTGCATATGATTCAGGGCGGGAAAATCTCTATGGTCTAAATTATTTATTCTTTGTCCAAGTCGCTGTTCTATAATTTCATCTCCTTTCGGATGTTTCTTCCTAGCTTCAAAATAGGATATATTTTCTGTGATCACAGTGATTTCTGTCTCAGGTATTCCTTACATTGCCTGTCTGTAGCTTTGTGCTCCATGTTACAATAATATGGACAGGTTGGTGTGTTTTGTGTACACTCTCTTTCTTCATGCTCCTCTGCACATATTGGGGCATCTTTGTTTACCTCGGCACTGTTTAGCCGTGCGACCGTACCCTAAGCACTTAAAGCACATCAATACTGAACTTACGTATACTGAAATTAATACATCACATAAATCTAGGTTAACTGCCCTTGCAATCACTTTCCCTTGGAACGTTAACACCACTGATTCAGTACCTATTTACATATTTGATTTCACCGTTTTCAATTATTCTCTTCTTTAGTCTTCTGGCTTCAACAACTTTTGCTAGAGATTTTGTATTCTCAACTATTTCCTCTTCAGTTATACTTCTGTAGATCCCTCTGGCTATACCTTTACAGGTAGCTAGACTCGCTGAAATTTAGGCGTTTAGATTCTCATCCGTTAAAATTTTATTATTTAGACATTCATTTGCACTTATATAATCGATAAATTTAATTCCCACTCTGTTTTCCCCTTTTTTAGAGGTTTTCTCAACTCCACCAACTTTACTGTTTTTCAATAGTCTACCTACACTGATGGGGTGCAAGTTTCCAATATGATCCTCATTCTTGCTCTCGACTATGACCATGTAGGGTTTCGAATCTCTGAAAGTATAGGTAAAATTATGGCTATTTGTCTTTTTTGCTTCCATATTACTAGGCGGGGGTCCCCGATGGCCCCCTATGTCTTCTCTCATGTGGTTCTTAAACTATTCTAGGTTAGGAAAAGCAAAAGCAGGAAACAGGAAAAAAATCTATACTACTGCAAGCAAGGATTTAAAATTTGTGTTGGGCATTTTCCCCTAGGTATACTTGATTGATTTTTAGTATTCTAAAACTTTCTGTTTCCTTTAGTTTTACAAAAATTAATCAGAAAATCGGATACCGAGCTGTCACTCTCTGGCGCCAATCGTCGATCTCCGGACAATTTTCTCCATTAGAATGCGATCACTAGTTCAAATTTTAAATTTATTTAATCTCGACGAGAATTTTTAAATTAAAATCTATCCTCCTTAAGTTATTCCAATTTTCAATTGATGATAACGGCTAGTCTGTTGGTTTGATATTAAGGAAGCCATAACCAATTTTTTGAATAAAACTCCCTAATGTCATTCCTTAACAATTTTGACTCTTATTTCAATTGGAGAGCTGTCATAATTCTGTAACTAGTAAAGCAAAACATCTTTAAGTAACAAATATGTTCTTAGTTTATTAATGAAAAATAAAAGCTTATTGGTGTACCCAACCTATATCGTTCCAACATATAAGTATTATACAAAAATAAAGTATTATTCAGCCTTCAACTTAGATTGTAGACATAAAATTCATTTCAGGTTTTCAATGGTCAAATATTTCACTTTACTTTTAAGACTAAATCCTTATTTAGTCGGTATAGAGAAGTGAAGGCATCGACACTCACTTATTCTCGCGTCGCGCGTAATTTGTACCCTATTGTATGTTCTCTTGGTGCAATAATAATAATAAACGGATATAAACAATTTATTCTTCTGTAAGTGTGATGTTGTTTTATGTAATCTGTCTGCTCCTAATCTTCTCGTTTGTTGGACTAATTTTTCTTAATCGTACTAAAGGTACTACTTTGTTAATAAACTAATTTTTATTTCAAAATATACGCACTAACCCTTTACTTTGTGTATGTATATTAGTTTTTATATAAATGTTTCTCTTTTTTTCCTCTTTTAGCAACAATAATATGGTCCTTGCAACAAATCTTTTATATATTTTTTCTGCAAATCTATTAGTTTTACAATTTATTCTTGGGTCTTATTGTTTTTAGATTTGAAGTATGTATATCTCCAATCTCCAATAACATTACATGCTTGCAACAAAATAGAGTTTTATCTGAAATTTTTACACAAACTCAATAGAAATCGATGGATGTAATTAGTTTGCCATCATATATTTAACGCTGAATGGTACATATACACACAAAAATTTGGTACCTTTTGCTTTAGACAATCTTCATAAGCTAAATTTTTGAACATTTTATAACCACAGTGTTACTAATAATGTTCTGAGTTAAAATTCCCAAAAACAAGTTTCTTTTAATTAAAATACATAAAAATCCCGTTAAAAATGTAGCCAAATAAACTAAATTTAAAAGTTGACACTTCTTTTATTTGAATTCTTGAAAGGCCTCATAATTTAGCCTTAAAAAACTTAACTTGGAATGTGATTTATTAATTGGGGATTTTTATCTTACCTTGGAATTTCCGTCTCCTCTGAGAACCAGAAATCTCTTTCTATTTTAGATAAATAATTATAGACCTGCTCTAAGTTGGATGCTTGTTTTCCGAAGAGAAAATCAATCTAAGGTGTAGAACTCCTTTCATCGAAAATTGTTGATGAAGTCATTACAGAGAATGAACTCAAACAATCATAAATATGAATATGATTTCTAACTTCTCAACTCTGGTAACTAGATGAGGTTCTTCAATGTTTGAACTAATGAGAATTGAGAATCCAACATCCAACCCCAAAGGTGACATAATGTTTTTAAATTTAGAATAAACCCGTTCGACAGCTTAACAATATGCTCACTGCTGCTTGAATGCTAAATTAAAACCCCGACAGTAGGAATTTTTAGAAATCAATTCGAATTAATTATGACAATCGATTTTTATTGATTTATTTGCTGTCTTGGTACATTTTCTCCTAAAAATATATAGTTCCTGGTCGCTCATCATCCATCATAGTCCCTAAAGACTCATCTGTAAGTTACTCTTTAACAGTAACGATAAAAATAAATTTATCGCAACCTATAATGGCCATAACAGTTTAGAGATTCTTTGACCCATTCTCACAATAAACTTTTTACCATACCATTAATTTTAATGTCAATAAATCAACAAAATCTGTCGTAATTATTCACGACAAAACATCCAATCAATCATTATTACGACACAAACGGTCGATAATCGATGGCCGGATCATAATCGAGAAAACTATCCGAAAACAAAACACTGGGGCGTCTCTGCGATGCCATCGCCGAGTAGGCGAAGTCGATTACAAATACGTATTTATATTAGATTTTATTTAAATGTCAGTTCGAGTCGAGAGCGCAACATATTTTACTCCCTATAAACACCTACAGGTAACCTGCTGGCTTGAATATCTCAACTTGAAGAACAGACAAGGACGTCACGAAGAGAGATGAAGGCTCGATATCGAGAAATTGAACTGTTTGGTTGGTTTAAAAATGGATAATATTAATTTTCATTTGAATGGTTATAATTGGTTATTACGAATTATTATTGGAGTAGATCAATTTGAGGCAGAATCATAAAGCAGTAGTTGTTTCACATTGGAACATATTCATAAACCAGAGTGGCACAAATTAGAATGAAAATCTTACTTCATTCTTCCAAACTTTGCAAATGTCTTGCATTTAGGCTATCGTCATCATCATAGAAGATTACTCGATAATGAGTAATTATAAATATCTTCTATTCTTATTGTCGTCCATTGTGCGATTCTGGAGCTGCACACTATCCCACAGTCTTGGCAAACCCAGCCTCTGGCAGCATGTCTCGTCCTCTGGTCTCTCGCTCCTTCCTGCGGTCCCTCTTTTCGGACTTGTGTCTACGTCGTTATTCTTCAAAAATTACTCGACGCCATGAGGGCAGCACTAAGTTCAGACTGGTATATGACTGCCAACAACTCCTAAAGTAACGTCTCGCAATAGAGTCATCCTGTCATGGATACTAGGGCACCAAGGAGACGAGGGGAATGAAATAGCGGACCAACTTGCAAGACAAGGCGCTGCAACACCATTCCTTGGACCAGAACCTTTATTTGGCATGACGAAAAGCCATATAATAGGGAAAGTCCAGCATTGGGTAAAGACTCAACAAGCCTCTTGTTGAAACACGTTTCCAGGACAGACAGGCGAAAGAATCCATCTCGCCCTAGTCAATAAAGGCAAAGGAAATGATTGACCTTAGTAAAACAGTAGGTAGTTTACGAGAGTTTTGGCTCAAAATGAAGACGAGACAAAGAGACATTCCCCATACTACTCAAAATACAACAATCCTCCTACCGCGCCCTCTATCCCCCTACCGGGTCACTCGAGATTCTACACACAACCATCCTCCTACCGCGCCCTGTATCCCCTTACCGCACCCTGTTTCTCTACCGGTCACTCAAGGTACTACACACACCCTTCGAAGTCAGGTGAAAACCAGCAAAATCCAGAAATAAACCAAGATAAAACCAGATAAACAAAATCCAGAACAGAACCAACAAAATTCAGCACACAAAACCAGCAAAATTCAGCACAAAACCATCATAAAACATAGGAGGATGGTTGTGTGTAGTATCTTGAGTGACCCGGTAGCGGGATACAGGCTGCGGTAGAGGGATGGTTGTATAGTATTTTTAATACCTATCTAGAAGTACTTACCAGTCGTTCTAGTGACAAAACGTATATCGCTTCTTGACACACAAATAAAATTAGGTTAGGAATTTCCTATTTGTACATGAAATTGACGTATTAGCAATCGACGTTCGTTTTTGTTGGTAATTTTTTGTTTCATCTGATTCGTGATTGATAAATAAGGATGGGGTTATTCTAAATAGGTATTACAAATACTCTTGAGTGGTAGGAGGAGTGTCTCTTTGTCTCGTCTCTGTTTTGAGCCAAAACCCCCGTAAACTTCCTACTTAAATCGGATCTAAGTCCCATTGTCAAAATGTGCAGTTAACCTTAAGGTTAGGGTAACTTATACCCTAAGGTTACCATGAGAGTGGTACCATTTTACCAAACTTTTGTGACATCTTGTTAGGTTCACTTCAACTCTTGCTTTGGTTTGACATTTCCAAGGCCATCTACGATGGATGGAAATCTTTTTTTTATTTTGTTGATGTTTGGCATTTGCGTCGTAATTTTCCATGGCCACCTACGATCGATTGGATGGGAGAGATCTTCTTTTTTGTTGACATACATTTCCATGGCCACCTACGTTAATGGATAATTCGAGTGTGTGTGTGTGTGTGTGTATGGAAACCCAGCAGAGAGAAGGCTTGTTTTTTTTTATTTGCATTTGTAGACGCGCCCTTATTAGCTCTTTTATACTCGGATTTTTTCTCTGTCCTACTACTCAGGTTGCATTTTTGTCTTTCTTCTGTTTATTTTTGAAGCTCTGACAACGCTTGATTGTGTTTTTGGGCGATATGAGGCTGTTTGAAAAATATCGACTTAATAAGAAACAAACTAGAAAACTCTGGTGGAAATTCGGAATACTGAGTCAATCAAAAAACATATCTTAAAAAAATAAACAATAATCAACTGATCGCTCAACCCAGCACTTTTGCATGAGTTTCTTTTGCTGTACTCCCTGTGACGTCACGTTACTCCCTAATTGCAATCGCTCTGCTCGCTCCGCCGAGCGTCAACCCAAACCCATCGATTCAGAATCAAAAGAGAATCAATAATCGGGCAACCCAAATTGAGTCAGAATTATGACTCACTTATTAAAATTAACCCAAAACATCAGTTATTTGTCTGTTTCGTTGAACCGGAATAGTCCAAGAGCCGGCAATACTAACGGGTATGTGATCGTTGCAATGGATAATTTCTACATAAAACAAACTTTCAAAAATTTGTATTTAGCAAGCAAAATAACACGTGCGCTGGACTTTCAATGAGGGTTGCCATCATTTCCGGCCATCAAAATCGAGGCCACCCTATATATTATTTGAGAAGACATATTCAAGAATATATCTACCAATTTTCAGCTATTGCAACGATAACATTGTTCCTTCGGAAAAAGAGGGGTAGTTTACGCCCAGCCATCAAAGGGTTGCGGTCATGAGAATCGAGGCCACCCATCCATTTAGTTTAAAGGTAACTATGAGCTATTCTTTTATGTGAAAATTATCCATTGCAACGATCACATACCCGTTAATATTGCCGGCTCTCCTACTAGAAAGACAACATGCCTTTTGACTCTGGTGCCGGTTTATATCGACAAGAATGACAAGTGACAGATGACAGAGGAAACGTGCAATAATTGTCACATAACTGCAATTGCCGCCATATTGGTTGGCGCTGGCAAGATAATTGTGTATAACATGGCGCCCAGTGATTTTATTGCTGCATGTAACTTTTATACCTACTAGAGATAAAGGGAAGGGGAAGCATAGTTTTGACATTTCCAAGGCCACCTACGTTGACATTTGACAGCTACTTTGAATAAGGCGCTTTTTTCATAATTTTCTATTGGTAATTTCCAGTCGATCAATTCATTTGTTAAGTAGGATAGACGTTCAAGTTATTGACAAATATGTGGGCAGCTGGAAATTACTGTTTCCGGAACGGTTCTCATGTCGGTTGGAACAGAAACATTGTTGTCATAACTTTCCATGCCCACCTACCCTACGATGAAAATCTTTTTTTTTGTTAAAGTTTGAAGTTTACAAGGCCACCTACGTTGACATTTGACAGATACTTTGAATAAGGCGCTTGTTGTCATAATTTTTCATGGCCTCCTACGATAAAATCTTTTTTTTTTGTTTGATATTGTTGTCATAGTTAAAGTTTGACATTTCCAAAGCCACCTACGATTGGATGGAAATCTTTTTTTTTTGTTGACATAATTTTCCATGGCCACCTACGTTGATGGATAATTCGAGTGTGTGTGTGTGTATGAAAACCCAGAGAGAGGGATTGTTCTTTTTTTTGCATTTGTAGACGCGCCCTAATTAGCCCTTCTGTCCTCAAATTGTTTCCCTCTCCTACTATTCAGGTTCCAGTGCGGAGAGGTCCAGAATCTAAAAACCCCAACCATCACAATCTTCAACTCGAATTGTATCAGAAATTAGAATCATAAACCTTTAATTGGAACTAACTAATCTTATGATGATGAGTCAGACTTGAACCATCAAGTAGCGTGAATAACGTCAGAATCAAGAATAACCCAAATGAACTAACAATTTAATCAGAATTAAGATTGAATCAATAATCGGAGTAGCTTCAATCAATCTAGAATCATAAATCAGTGATTAGAGTGACTCGAATTGAGTCAGAATCATGAAACAAGTAACTATGATGGAAACTATTCTTACGAGTCAGACTTATAAACTAGTGATCGGAGTAACATACATTTATTCACAATCAAGAACTAATTTGTAGCCCAAATAAACCAGTAATCGATTTAGAATCAAAAGAGAAACAATATACGGACATCCCAAATTGAGTCAAAAATATGATTCATTATTTATTTAAACTTACTCGTTGAACAGGAATCACAACAGCTTTCATGCCTTTTGACGCTGACACCGGTTTACATCGACAAGAATGACAACTGACAGATGACAGCGAAACCTTGCAATAATTGCCACGCAATAGGGATGTTCACAAAATAAAAAAATCCCGTTTAACAATCATCAAATTATTAAGCATCGTTTCTTAAGTAAATTTACAAAATTTTACGAAAATCAGAAAATTCATTCTATGAGAAAAACGGAGACTAAATATCAATATTCGTTTAAAAGCAAGTAACGCTCGCTGACGTCATAATGTGTAACGAGTTAGCGCGCGCAAGTACAGTGGCGCTACTTTCTACTTGGATCAGCCTTTTGTGACGTTGCTTCTGCGATTTTTGTTGGCAATAAAAAATATTAATATTATTATTACTATAAGTGTCTTTTTCTTTCATATGCATTTAGATAAAGATACTGATGAACTAATTGGTGATTGAATGTTAGGAAGCACCCTGAATAGTGAACTCTATTAATTGTCCAAATACTTTCTACAATGAGCGGAACAGAGACAAATACATTGTAGGCAATTTATATCGTAAATAATTCCGCAACGTGACGTCACAAGCGCTACTCTCGCCGCAAGGGGTCGTTTTGCTAGCCTCGCTAATTTCGTTTTTTTTTGTTTTCGATTTATTAGAAAAAATTAAGGGTTTCTAGCTGTTTTAACGTTTAATACGTGTTTTGTGTACCTAGAACCACCACTTTTTATTACAATTGAAAAATAGTGAACATTCCTGGATAGGCAATCCAAACCACGTGACTTTTTTTGACGGATTGTTGGCACACAAAAGATTTTCTTGGTTTAATATGGTCCTTGCGTTCGGTATTTTGCTCCAAGAGCAGAACGTGCTGAGCGGAGCCGTAATCACGTGACCAGCGAGCGAACAGAGCAGTTGAAAGCAGTATCCGAGTGCCCGAAATTTTAATAAACGACCGCAAATGAGCCTGCTCCGAGTACACTTTTTGAATAAACGAACGGTAAATTCAAGCTCGGAGAACTCTAATCAAAATGCCGAACGCACGGTGTGTCATTTTCTGTGTTGACTGCGTATTTTGCTGCTTATTGCTTAATTTTGTGAGTTTTTAGACCTAAAAAAACGCACACTCACAATAATTTAGAAATATTTTGAAAGGAAATTTGTAAAAAGCTGGAATTAATTATTTTAAAATTCCCAACGTCAAAGGTAAATAAAATCTGTTTTTTTTTAAAGATAAAAATCAAAATGACATTATGTTGGCAATACAATGTAAAATTGTCAATGCTTTCAAATTTTTCATGTAGAAAAGGCTTGTGCTGCCAACATAGTTACTAAATTTTTGACTTGGCCCTTAGAGCAGGTAAAGGTAAAGGAGTAGTAACCTAGATTTGAAAAATGAAGCCGTTTTTTTCCAGGTATCTTGGCCCACAAAAAATGGCGGTTATGGCAATTCAATGCTCTACCTGTATTTTGGTGCCAAACACCTGCCAAAAACTTCGCTTCACTTTAGTTTCATAAGCAGAATGGCGCGTTCCTACTCCTTATGTCCGTAGGACAGCGCTTTACCTGCTCTAAGGGATTGCCTAATTGTAATTTCATTGTTGGCGCCATATTGTTTAGCGCTGTCACGTCCGATTTCAGTGTTGCCAACACATTATGGCGCCACCCAGTGAGTGATTTTATATTGCTACATGCATAACTAATAGGATTCTTAATTCAGATTATAAACAACCGAATATGTGTAAAAAAACTATGACAATTTCAACAGATTCGTATCGATAAATTCGACCCATTCCTCTTGTTTGCTCCTTTGGCTCGCAAAGATGACGACAAAATGCAAATTTCGTTAAAAATAAAAACTAATGGCACGCCAACCTCCGACTATTTTCTCGATTCTTTCAACTGAAAATATTTGCGAAGGTGACTCGAAGGATGTTAATTCTTGATATTTGTTTAATAGGTATAACATAAAAGATCTCAAATGTAAAATTACCTACATAAACAACTAAGATGCTAGTCGGTATATGAGTTAACACAACAATGGGTATGGGTACCCACCTATTATTGCGTCACAATTATCCTAATTACGTAGATTAAATAAATTTAATGTTAATTAAACAGTTGGACAGTTCAATTAAATGTATATTATACGAGCAATTTAGTAGTTGGTTGCCTCAAATAATAAATACAACGAGGCCAAATCGAAGAATTCAAAAAACGTTTGAGAATTTGATTTCCAGATTAGATACGGGCTGATTAAGAATTAAATCAATCCGTCTGCTGGGTGGGCGGACAAGAAGCAAAACAATTTATATTATGGTATCCGAAAGAGGTCAATTGATTTGTTTTGTTGCAATTGAAGATTAAATCAAATCACTTTAATCGGATTTTGTTTTTCAATCGGTCAACACACAAAAACACCCAGCAAAATTTCTAAACTGACTGTTATACAACTAAATACCTGTTTAGTTTATTAATAGTAATAATTCACGTAGTTTAACTACAATGGATACGAAAGGTTAAATTTCTGGTAAATTACCAAGGTCGGGTTTAGCGTAAAGTAGATTGCAGAAGGTAAAATGGCTACTTGTGTGTAAATCTATTACGTGAAATGGATATTAGTAAAGACACCTTGCCTCACAATAAACCTACGTGGGGCGTGGTTATTGTGTGGCTTTTAAAATATTTTTATGCCACACGATTCTATCGAAGGGAAAAGTGAACGTTCTTCGCGGAATTTATGATCTCAGAGCTTTTTGATAATGACTTTACCTCGACTCAAACAACCACAAGTCCACAAAGAAATTCTCTTTGATCGGTTTGCCTTATATAAACTGAAAACTAGTGAGATTACCAGAATCTATCAAATCTAAACTTACAGGCCTCATTCAGACAGTTGAGGGAAAGTATAAATTTAAAGGGCACAGAAAAACCCTGTGAAAAGATTTAGTTGAGGACAAAATCTATAGATGTTCCTTGAGGGTCGTTAGTTTTCAATGGAATCGTGTTACTATTTGACAAGTCTATTAAGTCAATTCTAAACGTCCAAGGCTTCCTTGGGACCTCAAGGAGCGACTGTAAGTTTGGCCCTGATGTTGGTGACTGTCGGACGAGCTATCTGATAAATCCCGAAAAATCGGAACAATCGTGGTGCTAAGAAAATCCCACTTTAGAGAAGCCTTAATTGAAAGAAGTTGCAATCAAAACCCGAGAAATTACGAAACTTGCTTGGGATTTTCAGTCTGGGATGAAAAACACACTTTTCAGTTTTTTAAAAATTCTTTTATTAATCTTGAACATATACTTAAAATTCTCACATGACCTCGCATGTGTTGCTTATTTTGTTATTGTCTTTTTCGGTACCACCTGCGCGAAAAACAAAAAATCACTTTGTCAAAGCAGACGACGACCATCGGAACCCAAAAGCGAACCAAGTGGGTACCAGCGCGCGTGTGGGTTGTTGATGGGTCGCAATTTATGCGAAGGCCATGGTCAAGGTGAACAATCGTGACGCTTAGACCCCGTATTAGCGATGACAAGTTCCGCCAATCATCGACTTTTTTTTTTTTTGTTTGCGCGACTTACATGGTGTCCCACATTATGATTGGCGTACGCTCGCACTTTGGTCTAAATAATTGTTTATTGTTTCAGTACCTCGAGATAGTTCAAGAGTACCGGGCGCTGTTATCGGTATCGATGGCGATACAGTTTTGACGTCGCCGGTGCGCAGGGAACGGGTGAAAAAGTCGAAAAAAGAATTGGCCGACGAAGCTGCCAAAGTTATCAGTCAAGCGGATAAAGTAGGATGCGTTGCCAACGACAAAGGTAACTGTCTATATTGACATAAACATTCAGTTAGTACCTCCTAGTCAATATCAGTATTTTGTTTCTTAAATACATAACGGGTCTTCAAAAAATATATATTTATAAAAGAGTGATTTGATTTGATTACAAAAACGCAAGGATATTACACATTACTGAAGGATTGCTTATCTTATCAGCCTGGATCTTTGAAATCAAGGTCACATCACATGGTGTAGCACCGTTGCCGACGTCATTAGCGGTGTCGTCAGCTGTTTGCGCCAGTAACAGCTGGCTACTTCATCACATCACTGGCACTTTGGCATAGTGGGGGCTTGAGATTTGAACTACACAGGTCATGAGTGTAGTGTGTGATATCTTTGACAAAAACTTACGTTGCGTCGGTTAAAGGGATAAAAAAAAATACAGCATGTTCCGACCGTCTACTCGAACTTTACCATGAAATTATAAAACTTTAGCAGAATATTGCTGCTAAGACATACATTCAAAAAATCATAGCCATCTTTGATTCACGTATTTGTTTTTTTGAAGACCTGTTACTTCAAATGCTCATAGGCTGACGATAAAAGGGCAAATTGGATAAAAACTTATAACTTTACAATTCTATAAACCATTATTTCTTTTAGGTACCATTCCAGAAAAATTCTACACTTTGCCTAATAGAAAACGCAATATCAAAGATAATATCCGAAAAGAGCAAGATTTCTACTCCTTAGACCGAAAATCGAATAAAAGACGCAGTTCTTCCGAATTGCAACCACCGAAAAAACCTCCTCGCACGTTCACCTCCGTTTCCAGCCCACAATCGACCGCAAAACCTTCAATTTTTGACATTTTCTCGAAAAAACCAGAAAAACCGAAAAAATCGAATTTGAGGCGAAGCCTTAGCGATGCTTCGGCTTTGAAATCTAGAGCTTACGGTCCCGTTGCTGACGATAATCCGAAAGTTAGAAGGGATGGTGGTGATACCGAGGAAAATGTTAAAAAAGTGAATACGAAAAAACAGTTGTCGCCTATTATTGAAGTAACGCAACGTGAAGACTATTTTACTGGTGACAATAAGGAGAACATTGAGGTAAATTTTAATAATTGATCTGTAGCGCCGTACACGTGGTAGAAATGAAACTTCTATCGCTTCATATTGACCGTATACGTCGCTCTCTCTTGCTCCACTCCCGTGGCATCAGAGTTGTATTGCGCATCACACTCTCTATTCTCTTCCATTGCGTAGTATTCAGTGAATATGTGACTCTCTCTCCTGCTTGTACATTGCTTCTTGAACTATTCCTTCTTCGAGCAACTGAGACTTTGGATTTAACACACGAGTGGTGATTGAAGACGAAGGACTGCATAAAAGGGAGACGTGGATAGCCGAAACTGTATATTAGATATATACAAGCTCTCTTTTTCTTGCTCTCTACGTTATATCTTTCTACTCTGTCCTAGTGTCTGGCAACGAAGGCCTCTCTCCTTCTCCTTTACATTATATTCTGTTCTCCCTCAGATGTAACGGAATAGGCCTAAACGTGACGCGTCTTCCGAATCACTCTCCATTCTTGCCCAAATATCAGACTGTTGCCTAAGAAATTTCATTTCAAAAACCATCCTTCCCTCATACAACTTGACTTAGCGTATGAGTCGGGGTAAAGATGAAGGATCACACAAAAGGGAAACAAGCATCTGTAGTGACGTCACAATGGTATCGGCGCTTGACAATAATAGGCAATCCTCTTTGCTTATAGTCCTTGGTTTGTGTCAATCGATCGTCGGCTGTCATTGTCATTCTTTGGCTGTCTTTCTTCGCTTCTCTACATTATATCTTTCTGCTTTCCCCTGTAACGAAATTTGCCAAAACGTGACGTTGAGTGGCGCATCTTTCAGATCACTCTCTATTCTCGTCCAAATATCAAACCGCCGCCGAAGAAGTTTCACTTCAAAATGTAATATTTTTGAAAAAATCAACACCACTATCCCCGTCTCATAAAATTTTTAAACTTAGCGTATGAGTCAAGGTGAAAACGACGAAACATACAAAGGGTAGACACGCATCTGTAGTGACGTCACAAGGGTATCGGCGCTTGACAATAATGGGCAATCTTCTTTGCCTTTAATCTTTGGTTTGTATCAATCGTTCGTCTGCTCTGTCTTTTTCATTGGCTGTCTTTCTCCGTTTTCCTATGTTATATCTTTCTTCTCTCTCGTGTAACGAAATTTTCCAAAACATGACGTTACGTGGCACGTCATTTAAATCACTCTCCATTCTGGTCCAAATATCAAACCGCCGCCTAAGAAGTTTCACTTCGAAGTGTATTATTTTTGAAAAAATCAACACCACTATCCCTCTCTCATAGAACTTTTAGACTTAGCGTGTGAGTCGGGGTGAAGACGACAAACCACACAGAAGGTAGACACGCATCTGTAGTGACGTCACAATGATATCGGCGTTTGACAATGATAGGCAATCCTCTTTGCTTATAATCCTTGGTTTGTCCAAATATCAGACCGCCGCCTTAGAAGTTTCACTTCAAAGTTTTTGAAAAAATCAACACCATTAGAGAGCTTTAACACATTTCCTGAATCTTGTGTATGTTTCAGAATTCTCCCAAACCTGAAATCCGTTCCGAAAGCGTAACGGAACAACTCAAAAACTACATCGACGAAGTAGACGAGGAGCTTTACAAAGAAACCGGAATCAGAATAACGTCGACCCCGAGAAAAAGAGACCCCGAACCGATCATCATAGACTTGGACAAAGCGGAAAACATTTCCGGCACGAAAAAGCACAAATTGAATTTCGGTTTGGGCAAAAAATTCAAGTCGCTGACCCAAAAAAAGCCCAAAGACCGCCATGAAACATCTGCCATCGAAATAGCTGCAAAACAATCACCCACCATGATCCACAGCAGTCAAAAACCCGCTGACAAACCACCCTTGACCAAAGGTAAATTTGATATAACATTGCTTATTCCATCGCTTTCTAATAAATTCGAATAACCAAATGTATCTTCATCCTTGTTTGACACTCATAAATTAAACAAGGATGAATATACACAAAATATAATATTTCTACTAGGCAAAACTGTCAATTCGATGGTGAAACGGCTGAGCAGCGATTCGTGCTCGTCTCCGCCGCCTCCCACGCGCACTAACGTCCTCATCATGCCGAACGTCGCTGTGCAACACAATAATAACCAGCCATTTTCTTATACGCGGGGCGTCAGTCCCGAAAAATACAAATCCAACGAGGATTTGCCCACTAAACCCGTCATCTATGCTCAGGTGGTTTGCGGAACGAAAGGAACTAGTGAGTACCTATGCGTTTTTATATGGGGGTGGGTAGTTTTTTTGATACGTGGCAACGTTGTATTGACAATAAATTGCTTTTTATATGGATGAGATCTAACAGGTAGGTACCGATTTTCCGCTAGAGTGCGCTGCAGTAGTCTGTCAAAAGTAAGAATTGTTGGCATTGTTTTATTTTTCGCAAAAATACGTTAATTTTTAATTTTGACTATAGATAAGAAACTGTTTTTACAGGATCAATATTTACTCCTCTAGAGCCGGTTTATTAACTTTCTGTCAGTTGTCAGGTAAGGTAATATAATCTGACGGATAAAAACGCAGTCTATGATCCTATTGGTCGGCTTATTATGAGCAAGTTTATCGTTAAATGATTAAACGAGGCCTTAAAGAGTATTAAAGACATATAGAAAAACCAGATATGACATTTTTATTACCCCAATGAAATTTTCATTTGTTAAAACTTAACTGTGTGCCATTTGTTTCGAATTTTGATAGACTTCACGAATAAGTAGTGTCATCTGGTGATCGGTACAAAAGAAGCGGTTACAATAACAATTAGGCACTAGCTGACGTCACACATGACACAGATAACGTCACTTTCGATGGGGGGACCAATAAAGCGTTTAAGGACTTATTTACAGCACTGGAAACTGTGACACTTATGATGGAAAACGTCATCGCACCGGATTTATATGAACAGGTTCATTTGAGAAATATCGTTTGTTCGTCCCCTTGAGGTAGGTTTGTCTCAATGACATGTTTATCCCCCTATCGAAGGTAACGTTATGTGATTTTTGACATAATCAGGCCTGTGATGTATCATTTTCTGTTATTTAACCAGCAACGTTAAGTTATCTGTCACTGTTTATTCTATACTTCAAAATAGAGACAGCAATAGATGTTGAGCCTTAACACAGCCGTTAAAATAACAGGACAGGATACATCATAGGCCTGAATATAGCTAGAGCCTGTGTTAGTGTATTATATCAATGAATTATAAACTATACACGTACACTGGAATGGTCACGCCGACCTATTAGGCAATCCGAATCAGCTGATAATTCTAGCTGGTGACGTGGGCATAACAAACTTGACGATCGTGAAGCGTGAAGGTGCCTTTACGCAGCAAATATCCAGTTAAGTTCCTCAAAATTTTGTAGAGGGCGCGAGTGGACTTGAAGTGTTTTAAATTTTGGCGGTAAAAAAATGTCAATAGTTTAAAACTGATTAAATTGAGTAGATAGAAAGATGACTAAATATGAACAATGGACAATGGATAAGTTAAAATATCTTCTAAAGCGTTCAGTGGCCCTTAGAGAATATTTTTAAAAGTGTCAGCGTCAGCTTGTCTTGAAACCACACATCAGACTTCAGTTTTGAGGTTAGAATTACAATCGAATTTTTACGCGCCAAAATTTAAAGAGATCCAAGTACAGAAGCGCCCTCTTCAACTCAACTGTCAATATTACATGCCATTAAATATCCGGTTAAGTTCCCCGAAATTTTGTAGAGGGCGCGAGTGAACTTGGAGTGCTTTGAATTTTGGCGGTAAATGTCAAATAGTTTTAAGCCGTTTTAATAAGTAAAAGAAAGCATGACTACATATGACCAATGAACAGTGAATAAGTTAAAATATTTTCCAAAACGTTCAACGGTCCTTAAGGGCGAGACTCCACGGGCGTAATTGACGTAAGCGTAACTAATCACGTGGTTTAATTTGTACGATTTCATTGGCGGCAGTGAATTGAATTTTTGACATTACGCTGCCACTACGGCAAAAAGTTGGTGTTTGTTGAACTTTTTGGCGTAATCGTGGCGAAGTTGTGACATTTGTTTTTGTTTGTTCTGATATATGAGGTGGGTTCGGCTTGCTCACTCCGAGTGACTTCATTCGCACTCCAGCCGTTCAGGTATTATTGCTTTTTGGCGTATTAGGGGTGACTCCATTAGCGTTCCATTATATCGAGTGGAGTAAATGGAGCTCACTCCAAAAGTTCCACCTCGGAAAGAGACATTTTCAGAGTAAGCATGCGCAGAGGTGAAATGTGGAAACTGTCAAGTTTGTGTTGTCACGTTGTGGTTGTTGTTAAAAAACTTAAAAATCGTTTATGTGTGGATGCGGGAATTAGTAAAATCATCGAGTAAAATAATTGATCTGATTTTGAAATTTATTTAACATGATGGGAAAATTTCCTTGACAAAGTTAAACAGACGCAAAAGCATTATATTATTCATTATTGTGAAGGGATTGAAGTTAATTTATAGTACACGAAAGACAAAAGTGAAAAAAAAAAATGGAAACCCGGAACGTTGTAAAGTCACAGTTGACTGTTGTTTTGGAACAAAACATATCATTCGTGTATTCATTTTTCACTCTAATCACTCCTAGATCACGTGACAAAAATCTGTTCTTACTCCACTCCAACTCCGTGCTGAATAGCCGAACCTCGCTATAAGATAGAACAATCACAGAAAACCACAAAAAACCTACATGCGGGATGTTACGCCAAAATTGGCGTAGAACTGACGTTCACGCCGATTGCGCTAATTACGCCCGTGAGGATTTGCCCTAAAGATTATTTTCAAAAGTGTCAGCGTCAGCTTGTTTTGAAACCACACATCAAACTTGACTTTTGAGGTTAAAACTTCATTCGATTATTTACGCGCCAAAATTTAAAAAGCTCCAAGTACAGAAGCGCCCTCTTCAACTCAACTGTCAATATTACATGCCATTGAATGTGTGTATTTTTACGGTTTTCAGGTCTGCTATTCCCACGGCGCCATATTGAATTGAGAGAACGTTAAATCGCCCTATAAAATCGAGGCAAATTGAAATGGAGAATGTGACAGATACTTATTGGCGAATTATGGAAATCTTTCCTGGTCTTAAAAATATTATATTTGAGGTTAGGAATATACCAAACCTAACAGCAACGAACAATCACTGTATACCTGTCTTTAGACACACGAAAGAGACAAATGTCATATCCGACAATGGTCGGATCCGTTCCAATTACGTGTAGTATACATACAGGGTGTTCCACCAGGAACCAAATTAATCTATATACGCCTGGCGAGTAAACATCTTACATACCAATTTTAATGCGATAGAACGAAATGTTTGGAAAAAGTCTAAGGTTAAATAGAGAACGAAAATGATTTTCCCTGTTACACTTGCAGCAAAAAGCGCTGGGAATGCTAAAGCTGGAACAGGGAAAATCATTTTCGTTCTCTATTTAACCTTAGACTTTTTCCAAACATTTCATTCTATCGCATTAAAATTGGCATACAAGATGTTTCCTTGCCAGGCGTGTATATGAAAAACTGTTTGCAGAAAATTTGACAGTATACTAATGTCAATGAGGCAACCCGGCTGAAATATTTTCAAGATGGTGGCACTTCCGGTTATACCGGAAGTAGATGTCAACTTGCTCATTTTAAATAAGACACCCGGTATGGGATTGCATACTTGGATTCTACTTAGAATTCTGACCAGATTTCATGTAATATATCCTATACCCAAGTTCAACTGTTTTAGAAATATTGACAGTTGAAAATTGATCTTTTTGTAAATTTGACAGGCTGTAAAACCTAAACGGTTAATTTTAGAGGAAAACTGACCTTACATTCTGATCTTAGATTTCCATCAACTATCATTTGACACTAATGGCGATTTCCATTTGTCAGACAGTGCGCACTGAGTGTATCCGCATCTTTTTCTAAAAGCATATAACATGTAAGGATAAGTATACATTTTTTTTGCACTGGTTCGACAAACGGAAATCGCTGTTACTTTGAATTTAACCGGAGATTAAATTTAACCGGAGATTAACACTTTCACGACCAGGCGTCACACATATGTGACAAGCAGTTTTTGCCAGGAACTGATGTCACATAAGAGTGACAATGACCCTACAATGATTGAATGCAAATAACTCCCGGGCGGTTCAACGTCGACAGATGTGTTTTGGCATCAGTTTCTAGGACTGTTTGGCACACATTTGTGTCGCATGGTTTCAGGATTGTATAATCGGTTTCAGTCATAAGCTTGTGGCAGCTGTGGTTCATATCCCGATTCGTATCGTCTCCCAACTAGTGCGGATTTCTGTTGTTTCTAGACTCTCCTACTGGAGTTTGACGTTACAAGGTAACACTCACTGGATATTGAACAATAATTATTGGCTATACAACGTAGCCGAGAGTCTAGAACAGCTAACAGTTTATGTCACACATGTGTGTCGCACGGTTTGCCATTGTAACAGGTGGTAAATTTTATTGGAAAACTTATCGGAAACCGATGTCACATATATGTGACATTGAATGTTAATACAAAAAATATATAACAAAACACATATAACCTGGTAAAAAATATATAATTTCTGTCAAAAGTTATGCTACCCAAAAAAACGCGGTTGGTTTCGAGCATCGTCAAATTTCATAATAGCGGTCGTGAAAGTGTTAAATTTAACCGGAGATTGAATTTAACCGGAATTTTTGATCATGGATAATGTCAAATGATGAGTTTATGAAAACCAAAGACAAGAAAGTAAGATCGATTTTCCTCTAAAATTAACCGTCTAGGTTTTACAGCCTGTCAAAGTTGCAAAAAAAACAATTTTTAACTGTCAATATTTCCAAAACAGTTGAACTTAGGTATAGAGTATATCACATGAAATCTGCTCAGAATTTTATGTAGAATCCAAATATGCAATCACAGGGTGTCTCATTTAAAATAAGCAAATTGACGTCTACTTCCGGTATAACTGGAACGGAAGTGTCACCATCTTGAAAATATTTTAGCCGGGTTATCCCCAATGGTATATTGTCAAATTTTCAAAAATTTTTTGCATGCAGTTTTTCATAATATAGATCGATTTGGTTCCCCGGTGGGACACCCTATATAATTCATTGGTGTTGTAATGTCCGTCGATTTTAATCTGATACTCCAAAGGGATGTGAGCTGGTGGCTCATCCCTACGTTAGAACGCCAATGGTCACCTGACGTCAAACCTGTTTTTGCCATATGCTTCAACCCCTTCCTCCTCTTACGGAAATTGTCAAATTAAAAACAACGGACAATAGGCAATTTTTCGCGATGATAATCAAGCATAATCTGATTATGCTGGATTATGTGATGTGTCAATTGACCTTTTCAATTTAGAAGCCTCTCTCTCTGGCGTCAGACTGTCAGACGCCAAAAGAGTATGAAAACAATGATTGACAACTATTGACAGTGGTTTGTTGACAAGAGTTTTATACGTGTGAGAATGGAAACTATTATTTCCTCGGTTTTTTCCTAACAATGGTGATTGTGTGTAGTGTGCCTTTTCGTGAAAATAATTCCTATTCACCGGCGGACGTGTCTTTCCATAAGTTTTCATCAAATCCTACATTTGTCAAAATTTGGATACACAAAATCAGAACTGATACTCGCAAAAGTAAGGGAAATCCAGGACCCATCAAGATCAAAGATATCCACGTTCAAGTTTAGTTTGCGGAAGCTGTTTGCTTCCCACATTTTCTTTCAAATTTCAAATTTCACCATTCTATGTCGGTCATTGTCATTTTCCATTCACTGAACAAAGATACCTAACTCATCGGTGGAGTCACCGATTAGAATAAAAACCAGGGGATTGCTAAACACCCTATACACTTGACATTGACGAGCAAGCAAATGTTGGCGGGAATCTGAATGTTTTCATACTTTATCGTCCATCTCTTTTAATTGAAAACGTCAATTAGGCTCTCCAAACCACGTGATTTTTCAATATGGCGACTGTGGCAAATTTGACGTTTGTTTATTTATCTTGAGTTAATTTGGAATGTTTTCAAGCTAATTACAGTTTACCTTATTATAATATACTTTTCGAGATGCAGAGTGAATACTTAAAGACTTAAATGCAGGAAAATCAGGATGTGGGCGAATGATAACTTTGAAAAAATGTCTATTTGACATTTGTTTATATTTTGACCTAGTTTTTACAGCAATGATATAGGCCTAGGCCTTTATTTTAGATGCAGGAACAGTGGTACTGAATAATTTCTAGGTTTTAATTGGAAAAATTTGAAAGGTTGGGCACTGAAAACAACCTGACATCATCCTTGTTGAAATGCCTTCTAAAATCAACTACAAGACACCTTTGTAACATTTTTAATTAGAAAAAAGCCTTATGAAGTCAATAAAATAACAAAATAAATAGGGTTTAGTCACAAAACAACCACACAATGCACTTTAAAAAGCTTCAAATTCTGTACTGTCATATGGAATAAGGAACTTCCGCACCTGTCGCCATTTTGGAATAGTTTTGACAGGTCGTTGGAATGCCTAATTGTGTCATACTCCCCTAACTCCCTCCCCATCAAATTTTGGGCCTGCGGGTAACATCACTATCAGCAGTTTATAGTGATGACGTCACCCGTAGACCTTGATGGAATGTTCGCGATTCAGGCTGTGCTAGTGAGTTAATGTTTTCGTCGATTTTAAATGTAGAAAAGGTGATTTTTGGTCTGTTCTCACAAATGAAATTAAGTGTTCTTGATCTTCGAGTATCCCAGAATTTGATGGTGGGGTAGTTAGGGCGGTATGACACAATTGACACTTATTTCTGCAATTGAGACATCACATAATCCAGAAAAAGATTATGCTTGATTATCCTCGCGAAAAATTGCCTAATATATAAATAGTCCTTCAAACACGTTTGTCCCCCCATCGAAAGTGAGGTTATGTGTGTAGCGTCAGCCAGTGCCTAATTAACCGCTGATTTTATTAATAGATAGCAATAGGCTGTAAAATTTTACACTGTCGCCAAATCTTTCATTTTTTCCTTATAGCTAACGAAAAACAAACAATCCATACCACCTACAATGGTAGAAGACAGCCTCAATCCGATTCGGATGAAGGCCTAGGCGGTGAAGACAGTTCGGGTTTCACAAGGAAATACGAAACTGAAAAATTGTCGTTCACGCGTTTCGGTGACGATCATTTCGAAAGCGATACCGAAAAGTTGCTGGACGAAATCGACAAGTACAAAGCCGAAAGTCCCATTTTACCCAAGTACAGGCCGAATTTTACGAGTAGCTACATGGAACGCGGCAGGGCTGACGGTATGGACGCCAAGCGCAGAGAAAGTTTGACTGAAAACGACCAGGGTTTTTTGCGGAACGATCTTTCGGCAAGGAGAGATCTTCTGGAATCGAGAATTAACAGGAGGATGAACGAGAAAATCACTCCCTCGCCGGAGTATCCTAAAAATAACGTTTACGTTGTGGAGAAATCGTCGAAGTATTACAGGAATGGTTCTACTAGTCCGACAGGCTACAAAGAAAAATTTGTTTCTGAGACTAAAAAAGATGCTTTTGGTGAAAGGTAAGAAATTTAAATTGAAATTCAGGATTTCTTCAAAAACTTAGCAACAAAGCATACTTCCTGAAAACATCCTACTATAGTCTGTCTCTTATTAATTTTTTCTAATAAAAAAGAATGGATATACTTCAAAGAGTATTTGGTTCATCTGTTTTGTTTTCATGCCTACTATGATCAATATTGAATTTATCTCTTGTTTCTTTCTACTTTCTTTGGCTGAAGATACATTGATAACAGATAGGAGAAGTTATGGCCAAATAGAGTAGGTATAGATTCTTCTAATTTTTGGTTTGAAAATTCCAGACGTACCGAATCGAGAACGAAAAAATACTTTGGCGCACCCGATCTGTCCGACAGCGAACCAAAAAGTTTGGACTATCGATCCGCACCAATGGATACGCGCCATCGATACGATTCTAGTCAGACGATCAACACGCGTAATCGATATCGCACTTCCGAAAAGCCAAAACTTGTAAAAGACAAAACGATTTACCGATCCACTCCGGAAATGTTTCACAATTCGCATCAGATTCCTCCAAGGTCTTACCATGACTCGTTACCCAGAGAAGAAAAGTTTGTGAAAACTTTAAACAGGCAAGAAAGCGACAGAAGGACTGATCGATTAGTTGACAGTGGTATTGAGAATGACATCAGGCGTGATAGTAGCGAAAATTATCGTCCTACTAGGCCTGCTAGAACGAAACATGAACTTTACAATGAAAGTGAAGATGAAGGTAAAGTTTTTCCACATGAATTAGTTTAGGCAATAATGAGCAAAAATTGTTTTAGGTTTTGCAAGTTCGCTCTTGATTACTAACGAAAAGCACCACACCGAAACGAACCATCATAACCCGAGAAAATCCCGAATAGATTACGATTCCGACGAGTTTTACAGGAACAAGTACATCCCTAGGGAGCGAAGTATCGACGACGGATCACATTTCGATCCCCGATTAGATAAGGACGTGATTATGAAACGCGCTAATGAAAGGAAGCCGCCTAAAGCGGAGAAGAAGAGTAGTTTAGAAAAGGTAAGTAATTTGTGTCTATGATTTAATTTTAATAGTTTTCTATTTATTTGTTTTATCCAATTATTGTAATCATGTGAAAATATTTTAATGGTCGACTGAGAGAGTAAATTCTTATTTCTTGTGAAATTTTTTGAATCGCTTTATTATTATAGGAATCTTTAGTTCCTTGTTTTTTTATTGGATTGGATTGAAATGCGAGTTTAATTCTTCTTAACTCTTTACATTTGTAAGCAATATTTGGATGGGATTCTTATAATACCTACCAAAACATGTCGGCTGTCAGCTTTAATTATGTTCTTTAAAATACATATTGTAATAATTATTATTTTTTTCAGGTAAAGTCTCTGTTCACCAGGGACAAGAAAAAAGACAAAACCTCAACCCTCCAAAAGCAAAAATCCAAATCGTTGCACGGCATCCGACAAGGGGACGCTAAAGTAAGTGAATGCAGTGCGTAGGGCGAAGGGTCTTTAAAAAAAAAATTGTGACATGCAACAATGCTGATCGAAATAGCGAGATTAACAACCCGCAAATTCCTCCTTGCCCAACTATTTTATTGTTCTCTCTCTTCAAGATCAAAATGGGGCCCATATTTTAACAACAATGTTATCCTGTGGCTGAATCAAACTCGGGCCTCTGCATGAAGATGGCTTTATTGCACGTACATTATTTTCTCGGGAAGAAAATGTCTTATTAATTCAGTTGTTGCGATAAAATGCTTTTTTTATCTGACGGGTCCTAAAAATGTAAATTTTATCCCATTCGAGACTCAATTTAAGCCAAGTAGCTTGATGGTATCTTTCTCTTCCGACAAACTGCTTACTGCAGCCATTTACACACACCTATCATCAGTGATTTCGAAACCATAGTCAAATTCAATGCTTCCAAAACTCAAACAACAGGGAACTTGTCAAACTGCCCCTACAATTGAATAACCGTGTAATTTTTCTCAATGTCTTGGTGGCACCAAACCTACCTCATACTTTCATACCGGGTGTGGATTTCTTCCGGAGGATGGGCTTGGTTCCTTATATTTCCAGAGGGACTTATGAGTTTGATTTTGTTACACCTGAAGTTTTTGATGATAAGGATGTGGTCCAGGTGTTTGCTGTGGTTTCCCATAAACATCTCACCTCCGATCAGCAGATAGCTAGATAACAGGGAAATATTTACCCCTATTGAGCAATGGTTTAGGAAAAACTTTGAGAGTCGTTGCATCGAATCGAGGTTACCTCGGAGCCAATGGGGCAATGAGCTTATCGTGTTTCTAGGGTAGTGCATCGATGCTGAAATTACCAAAATGTTAGAATTGTATATCATAGAACAATCGGGTTCTTCTCTTGTTTTGTTGGACTCCAAATCTGACGGTAGTTGGCGTTTCGTGGTAGATTACCGTAAACTCGATAAACCTTCGAAGAAAATAGCATATCCTATTCTATTTATTATTGACATCTAAGATAAACTTCGTAATGCTAAATACCTGAGTTCCATTGATTTGAACTCCCCTTTTTGGCAGGTCGTTCGGAGATCTTCCCGAGAATTCACGGCATTTGCAATTCCTGGTAGAGGTCATTTCCAATTTAACAGAATGCCATTCGGGCTGACAAATAGTTCTGCGACTTTTCAGAGATTGATGGACCAAGCTCATTGATCCTACACTTGAACCATACTGTTTTAGGGTTAAAACATTTCTATCAATCCTTCAGTGTCTCTTCTTGGGGTGATCGCATCGACCAACTTGTATTGGCATGACTATATATCTTTGATCACCAAAACCGCTTCTCAAAAATTAGGTTTTCTGTTTCGTTACTTCTGAACAACTTCTCCTTCATAAGGCTCAAATCAGAATATGTATGGAATACTGTTCCTACATCTGAACCGATACTCCCAAGCATTCGTTGGCTCTGCCTCTATTAGATGCAATGCAAGGAAGAGCAATAAGTATGATCGATAATCCAACTCTCACCGATTTATTGCAATCTCTCGAACATAGACGCAAAGTGGCCGACTTGTCGTTATTGTATTGCTATTACCATAGGAGATGTTCTAACGATCTTGCTAGCCTCATTGCAGCTAGAGAAGTGATTTAAGAACCACAAAAACCTCACAGGCATACCATTCGAATGTGAAAAAGTTGGCCACTCCAAGGACCTCTAAATATAGGGTTTCCTTTTGGTGGCGTACTGTCTACCTTTGGAACTCCTTGCCACTGTATTTCCTGAGAGATTCAACCTTCACGTGTTCAAACGGAGTCTTAACCGTCACTTAATTTTTTCCGCTCATTTGTGAGCGGACCAATAAAAAAAGTACACGTGCTGGAAGTGAAACTTCTATGGTTTCGTATTGAGTGTATACGTCGCCTCTCTCTTGCTCTACTCCCGTGGCATCAGAGTTACTTATACCGTATGCGCGTCAGACTCTATTCTCTTCTATTGCCTAGTATTTAATGCATACGTGGGTCTCTTTCTTGCTTATACAATGCTTCCTAAACTATTCTCCCTTCGAGCAACTAGACTTTGGACTTAGCGCATGTGTAACGAAGTTACTAGATTTTCACCGTCATTTCATATTCGGCTGGCTACAAACTCCGTTACCAGACGTAAACTACCATCTGCCAATTACACGAGGGAGCTATGTAATTGGAACACGTAAACTGTGACGCACGCTGTCCTTACGTATTAGTATAGCAAGTGCTCATCGCTCTATCTGGATTATATGCTTCTACATAATCTCGGCGAGGAAGGTGCTTATGTTACCGCCGCCACCTGGGCGTAACGGGCGAGTAAGAGAGACTTTTTTAGCTTTAGGACTAATAAAGGCCTTTTCTCGTATACTGCGGTAGCGTGCCACCAGGGACTATGATTAAAGTCCCACTGAAATTCTCGGTAAATCGCAACAGATTAGTTCTATCTAACTGATTCGGTTGCCCTTATTAGTCCGGGTTCTTGCTACCTGAGCTGTACGTAGTTGGATTCTAACTGTTTTAAGAGGAATCGGTTGTCAGAATAAATCAAAGAAGCATTTTCTTACGATAAAGATTCATATGGAATTTATTATAGATAATATAGGTAACAACTAAAGAAAATGGAAAATCAGTAAAACGATTGAAATAAAGGAATAGGTACAATAAAAGAATAATAGGCTTATACTGAATTTGAATGTAGAATAAAAGTGGAGAAAGTAAGTGTACAGGTAAGCTATGTTCTATGAAAAGCGATCGGTAGTACAAATCGGCCTTGTTAGATATCAGGGTTGCAACAATGAACGATTCAATTGAACGGTTTATCCAATAAGGCTAGGAAAAGTAGCGAAAATGCTGAAAGTCATAACAAAGGATTTATGAGCAAATAAGCGGAAATAAGATAGAAAAATAGTTTGACAATCAGTAGAAGACCATACAGTAAATAAGATAATAAATTGACAATGAGAAATATGTGGAAACTGAAACCTCACCTGCTTTGTAACTATAACGAACAACGAACGACTTTACACTGTAAGCACCAGAATCTGTGACCAAAACTGAATGAATCCAGAGCTACGTGAGGCGTCTTTTATTTAGCGAATTTGAATGACGCTTTTAGTTTATCAGTTACAAGTCAGGCGACGTTTTCCAAGGACCCAGGGGTCAAGAGTCGTGGTTCTAAGACATAATCATTGCACCGACTGATAACCTTTGGCTCTTGGTACCGTTTCGTCAAAAATTTGGCAATTTAATCTAACTGAGTATTACGTATTACGAAACAAAAAGAAAGAAAAAGGACTTTTAGGCCGGTTTGTTACACTTATACACTGCGACGTACCTGGATTTAAATGGGGTTATGTGATTGGAACACGTACACGATGGCCCTATTCTTTTCATGACGGACACGAGGGGGCTATGTGACTGGAACATGTACACGGTGGCGCTACAAATTTGGCGCCCGAGCAGGGACCGTTTTGCGCATGACGTCAGCATGTGACCAAGGATTTTACGTCATCATCCGTCCTCCGTTTCACTGGAAATTTGTGCCTCTCAAGGGACATGCCTGAAATTTCACAGGGTGATGCATACCGAAATAACCAAGCACACTGGAATTCCTGGGACGAGTTCTTGCGGGATTTCCGAAGCTTTTATTTTCCGATTAATAATAGGCCTGGTCGCACAGCAATCACAAACCAGTCAGAGCGAATTTCATTGGTTGAAAACAATCAGAAACAGTCAGAAAACTATTTTCAACCAATGAGATTCACTCTGACTGGTTTGTGATTTGTCTACGAACAGGCATATTATGCCGCTGACTTGGACATCAAAATTAGTCGCCGCCTTCAGAAACCGCTTGAACCGCTTCACCGTTATATACCCGATCTACAGACCCTAATCAAGCTTACCAGTTACCATTAAGGCTCGGAAAAATAACCCTGACCGAAACTATCAGCCACTTTCCGAAATTGACATCCGAAATTGTTCTTGTAATGGATATTTTAAACCGCCATCAGTTCCACCTTAACCTAGGTACTGGCGAAGTCTACCTCCGAGGCCAGCTATTACCATTTCCGACCCTCTGCAGTCCTATAGGAACAATCGATTCGAAACCTAGCCTCGTTTTAACACCGACCGAAGAGCGGAAGTAAACCGAGTTTCTAGATCATCAATTACCAAAATTCGACCAAATAAAAGGCACGACTTCTCTAGTAGAGCATCATATTCATCTACTAAACCCCGAGCCGATGAAACAACGTTACCGACCGCAAAATCCACGCATGCAGAAAATAGTCAATACTATACCGAAGTTAAAAAAATGCTAGCCAATAGGATAATCGAACCGTCCGCTAGCCTGTGGAGTTTTGAAAGTCAATGCCATATCCCGAAAGGATGCCATACCCTTTGCCATTCATCAGTGCGATTCTGGATAAACTCCGCCGAGCCCGATACATCTCTAGCATTGACCTTAAACAAGGGTAGTTGCAAATACCTCCTGCTAGAAGTAGAAAACCGATGACCGCTTTTACCGTATCGGGAATGAGTCTTTACCAATTCCGTGTAATGCCATTCGGACTACACTCCGCTCCTGCCACTTTCCAGAGGCTAATGGATCAGATAATCGGACCAGAATTAGATCCTTTCTGCTTTGCATACCTGGACGATATCATTATTCTTGGCGAGACTTTTGAAGAACATCTCCATAATCTAGGAGAGGTATTTCGATGCTTCCGATAATGGGTTAGGTGCGGCATTGATACAACATAGTGTCGATGGCGATCACGTCATAGCTTACGCTAGCCGTACGTTGAGTCTAGGAAAAAAGAAATTTTCTGTTACCGAGAAAGAGTGTCTCACTATCGTTTGGGGAATCGAGAAAATGCGACCGTATTCAGAAGGATACTGATTCACCCGTTGTTACCGATCGTCAAAGCTTAAAATGGCTGCATTCGATGAAAAGTCCGTCTGGTAGATTAGTTCGCTGGAGCGTTTATCTACAGCAATTTAATCTTAAAATTTTGAAATCAAATATCGTAACCAATGCTCATCGCTCTATCTGGATTATCCGCTTCTACACAATCTGGATCAGGGAGGTGCTTATACATTGCGCCGTACCTGGATTGAATGAGGTTGTGTGATTGGAACACGTACACGATGGTCCTATTCTTTCCATGACGGACACGAGGGGGCTTTGTGATTGGAACACGTACACAGTAGCGCTCTTTGTTCTTACGTATCAGTGTAGCAAGTGCTCATCGCTTTATTCAGATTATTAACGTTCATTATTAATTAATTGGACCGACGCTGAACGAGCGGAACCGACCGTGAATGTCCATTAGAGCTTCTTGCCCGTTTACCGTCATGGGCATTAATAAAAAGTACATTGTTGGATATTGTGTGTTTCATTTTGGGAAAAATGCGCATTGACCTCTGGTGTTTCCGTCTCCGCTGTTTAACAGCTACCTGGAGCACGTGGGCCCTTAACCACTTTAATCCTAAGGGTGGCGCCCGAGTTTTCCGAAAATTCCGAAATGTTCACTGAAAAACCAAGGCAGCGCTACATGCACGAGTGGGGGATAAAGACGAAGGGCCGCACAAAAAGGAGACGCGGATAACCGAAACTGTGTATTACAAATGTGTATTAGATACAAGCTATAGCTCTTTTTTTCCTGCTCTCTATGTTATATCTCTCTACTTCTACTATCTTCCCGAAAATTCCAAAATCAACCGCTTTCTTACTGGAAAACAAAAGTAACGCTAAAAATTTGGCGCCCGAGCAGGGACCGTTTTGCGCATAACGTCAGCATGTGACCAAGGGTTTTACGTCATCATCCGTCCTCCGTCTCACCTGAAAGCCCTTTTGTTTTGTCGTCCATTAGAATGACCGTTCCGGTTTAATGTGACTCCCAGGCCGCCGATCGCCAAAAAATAAACTTCTATTTGGACTGTTCTGTGTTTGTCTTCTTGTCATTCGCCCGTGGATGGGGAGTCTTAACCAATGCTGTCCGTCCGTGGAAGAGAGTTCCTGTTATATTTCGTACCGCATTGGACCGAAGTTCTCTATTCTTGGGAAGTAATGGTAAGCGCATGCGCAAACCAAAAATTTGAGCTTCTGCTCATTTCCGACTAGAATGAGGTCGCTAATTTCATTTTTCATCTCAAAATTTTCCCCATTGACGTAGTTTGTCAGAAACCGACTTTTCCGTTGCTGCTTTCACGCTTTCCCACTCCGACAACTTCGAAAAACGATAAAACTCCACACCGGACACCTATTCCGCTCAAACCGTTTTGCGCATGAGCAAATTTGAAAACCGAGTTGCACAATTTTTCCGAGTAATTCGAGGTTGCTGATTCTAATTCTGCAACTAGAAAATTTGTATCATCTACCGGTTGTCAGATTTTGTAAAATTTCTGCAGATTTACCCTATTTTATGAATGGTAGCTCGTGCAAGTAAGAGTTTGCGCACTAGCCGTCCTTTAATTAGAACCCAACCAACTTTTGGTTGGTAAACGTATCGCAAAAGAGCATAAAAGTCAAAGTCGGGGGAAAACGCGGATAGCCGAAACTGTGTATTAGATATAAGTTATAGCTCTCTACGTTATATCTCTCTACTCTGTCTTGCAATGAGGGTCTGTGTTAGATATAGCTCTCTCTCTCCTCTCTACATTATATTTTTTTCTCCCTCGTATGTAACTAAACGGGCCTGAACGTGACGCGTCTTTCAACTCTCCAAATATCAGATCGCCGCCTAAAAAGTTTCACTCCAAAAAACAACAATTCTAATATCTATTAAGTTTTAAAATAAGACAGAATTTTGAAACCTGAATGTAGTGGATGCTCCTTTTATAATTTTTCAAATTCTAGACTTTATAAATTCCGACAATAGTATAGAATGTTCCTGTATATTTTTTAGAGTTCAGACTACAAAAACAGACGAAGACTGTCTACTCCGAGTCCATCCAGAGACGCTCCAGCACCAAAACGCACCGAATCCACTCACGGCAGTTGGTTCAAGTCCTTGGACAGGCTCACAAGAAGGAAATCTGATAAAGTACTTAACATTCTAACTTAAAGCTTGTTTTTTTAACATCCAGTAAATTCTAGCACCCCAAAGATGGCTACATGACCACGACCGAAGACGAAGGTACCATTATCACCAAAAAAATATCTTCTTCCGCCAGCAATTTACGCTTTTTCGGCGACACCGATCCAGAATCCAACGACGACAGCGTCAGAGGCATGAAAACCCACAAAAAACGCACAGTCTCGGGACTGAAATCTCAGTCGACCAGAGACCTGCACGATATTTCAGAAGAGAAACGCGCGGGACATCACAAGTCACTCACCAACATATCGGAGACTGATTTTAAAGGTAGCAGGACGAGCCTGAAGCCTCCAATTTCTCCTGGTAATAGATATCAGCGAGATTTGAATCATAGGGATGACCGGAGGAGGCGCAAAAGGCCGGATTTGAGCTCGGTGGAAAGTTCTACTGAAGGTGACAGTAGTCAGCAGTCGCAGAGGAGTATTGTGTACTTACATGCTGCTACAGGTAAAAATAATTGGTATATAATGTACATACGTGTTCATCAAGTTGTTGTAGCGATCAATCAATGGACGTTAATCTGTCAAAGTATTTTTTTTCCACATCTACTACTAAATGACTGAACTATTAAGTAAAGGGGTTTCAGACCTGGATATTATTCCATGCCCTACTGAATCATCCAATTTACTTTTACACCTAGGTTTACCAGTTCTTTCAGAACCTGGCTACGACAGAAATTATTACACTTGGCTTCATAAGTTTTTCATTTTTAATAGCATTCACTTTCCGTTCTTGCTGTAAACTTCACTCCTCCATTATCGAATTCGTCTGCTTGATTCCTTGTGACAAATTCCAGATGTTATGTAAAAATTAATATTTTTTAGCGTAAATAATTCTGTCACATCTTAAAATTTCGTGGTGAATTATGCTGAAAAGTATATTTGATCTGAAGCAGTAAATAACAGTTTTCTGAACCGGAAGCAATCCGAACGAAATCCTCTTACTTCTCTTCTTGGAGTGGTTATTGAAAGGTGTTATTGGAGACTCGAAATTAGTACCACTTACCGCTTTTCTGCTGAAGCTGCAATCACCTCTTTGAAGAGCTTTCACTAAAACACCGGGCGGCAGATGAACTATAGGATGAGAAACAGATCAAGAAGTCGTTGAGATTTTGCGAATTAACTTTCCGGCGATAACAAGTAGTAAAAACTAGTGACGAATTGGCGATAACTGGAGTTAACTGGCCTCAACATCTGCTCAAATAAGCGAAAGGAACCACCCTCTGGGTACCACTTCAGAAGCCCATTGGCTACCCCTTAGTACCAGGGTTGCGAGAATCGACAAAGGCGAAGATCTCCAACCATCCTAGCTTTCAGCGATTCGCTGAAAGTACCCTCCGGTTTGTTGTTGTTTTCCCATTGGTTCTCAGGTGTATTCAACCTTCCCTATTCAAACTGCTCCACCCTGTGATCCAGTTTGATGGTTCTCCCACAATTCGCTAGTTACATGTGGTCGAATTATCAATTGAACCCTACCTATATCATAATTATAACTAAGCATTTGACTATCTTACAGTTACCATTTCACCAAAGTAATACCCTTGATAATTATATTTTTATACAATTTGTTATTGTATCTTAAAAATATAGCTCATGTAATCACCGTTTCGCTCCACACACACATGCTTCAAATATAATTCTTTCCAGCAACGGTATCAGTTACCTAACATCTGGGTTCGTCATAAAACGTGGACATTCAGAAGATTCTCCTTGACTTTGAATAAATTATTACATTACAACCACATGGGATCGATAGATTAGTCTTCTAAAGTTTAGTGTTTATCTAGGAAAATATAAATGTTTCCTATATATTTGTCAATTTCGAATTAAGCAAAATAATCTTGAAGCCATGAAATTCGATACTTTTTTGGCTTTCAAGTGATTTTTACCAGATTAGGTCGTTCGCAGACCTCCACGTGTTTGTAAATCCCATTAGGGTGACATTTTAACTATCTATAAAAATAAAACTTTTCCCACAAAGGATGAACTTGGACCGAGATTATGAATTTGCTATTGATTTTGTTACAATCTGATTGGATATTTCCGCAAAATCAACCAATCAGAGCAAGACACTTATTTGACAGATAATGTCCCCTTAATGATCGCTGTCACTGCTACATTCTATTGGTTGAACACGAACAGTTGACACATTGTATTACGTACTGGGATTATATCCGATAGTAGGCGAGTCTTTGCGCTAACCAGTTTATCTAAATCTTAGCCTTGCGGCTGTTCTGACTCAGTCAATATTGTTCTACATCCTATGAAAATCGGCAACTCTTCTCAAAAACTCGAAATATAAAGGAATTACGATATTGAGAGCCTTGAAAAATAAATTGACAACTAACAAACTGTTTACATGGTTAGCGAGAAAACTCGCCTAGTGTATCTCCATACATCAGACCAATGAAATTTCTAGTTGGCGATATTCCCGGACCGGGATATTTGAAATCAAACACGCGAGCAGCATCGCGCGAAGACCTCACCTCGACCAATTCGAGCTACATTCAGCCCCAAGTCAAAACGTTGAGCCGGTCGTTTTCGGTTTTGGCGCCGTGGAGGCCGCGTCATCAGAAAGAGGCCATGGACATCGACTACACCCAGTACAACAAGCAACCGAGAAACGGCAAATACGAACAGAAATCGAGTAAGAGCGGCTCGAATGTCAATTCGACTTTGAAGAGGAAAACGCAACGCAGTCAACCAACTCTGAATAGGAAGAGTAGGAGTAAGGAAAACTTGACTGGGCTTAATAGACAATCGAAAGAAGAATTATCACGAGGTAATTGATAATAAGTATTGAGAGGCTGGTATATATGTTTATAAATCTCAAACAGAGATGGTATAGGTACCCTTCTTACATTATCGAATCATTCTCTTCCAGGTTCAACGTCAACGCTTTACAAGAAGAAAGAAAAACTGCCGCGTGAAAATTCTAGATACGTGCGCGACGATAGAAAAATGCCTGGAAAATGTCAATCGGTGGAATCGATTTCGAGAAAAACCGACAGGGACGTGTCCAGATCGGTGTCGATGCCCAGAGATACGGAAAAAACCGCCGGGTGGTTTAAAAAAGTGAAAAAGTCATCGAGCAATCAACGACTGTGATTTTCGAATGATGATCTTGTGCCATTGTCGTTGGGTGTTTGATTTGTATTGTGCCTTAAAATTGGATTTTATTTTCTTTTCGTTACGTTGCGTGCCTAGTGAAAAGGAAATAGAATTTTTCTAGTGTTTAGTAATTTTTACCTATTTCCTCTAACCTCTATAATTAATAAATTAATTTACGAAAATAATGTTAATAATTAATTCATGGTGCTATATTTTATAATTAATTGTAAAATTATTGTAAATTGTGACTTGAGAGTGTCTGTATAGGGATGTAGGTACGTGTGTATGGTTTCGGAGTTTTGGAATTGAACAAATTTTAAACGAAATATGTTACCCTGTCAATTTTTATCTGCTGCGTATTTTGTAAAGATTTTTTTTCAAATATTAGTTTGTTAAATACATTTATTGTTTAAAGTGCTATATTAATACCTTCTAAAATAAAAGTTAATGACTAATAACATTGGTTTTAATTCCACTATCGTGTCTTGATTGATACAAACTTCCCTTTGTGCATCAACTTTAAAAAAAATAATGGAATTACCTATAAGCCTTCTGTTGTGTAGTCTAGTCTGCATTTTCCCCATTTTCAAAAACATAAATGAAAGAAAAATTTCGGTGAAGAAATTGACTGATGGTTAGTTTTTGTATACCAGATTTCGAAAAATCATGGATGATATATATGTATTCAAATCGGCTGTGGTACATAGCGCTACTAGTCACCGACCGGTATGTTATATACTGATTAGTGATAAATCGCCAAGAGATAGGAACTGTTGGTCGCGCGACGATTTTTTTAATGGCGTTTCCGATTGGTAGATCTCTTTGGTAGATCTATAGTGCGGAACTATTAGTGCAATTTTTTTGATTTCTGTCTTTTTCTTCTACAGGCCGATTAAAAGGATGCAAATACACTCAGTGCGCACTGAATCCACGAATCGGAAACGCCATAAGATTTGTTTCGCAATTTTTGACGAAAATCTTTCAATGTAAAACTTGCTGAAGAGGTAGGAAAGAAGTAGCGGAATTTTTCATCATTTGCTTGTTGTGCTCTAGCTACTGCTACAAACATTCTACAATAATTTATGTTTCTTTCCATATATGGATGAACCCACAATCTCCTGGTTCTGCGCATGTATCTTTGATTATAAAATAATAACTGCTTCCTTTTCATCGCTCGACATCTTGCATAAAATTAACATATGCGTTTATTTCCGATTCTCGTCCCGTGCCCTCGTGTACGAGAACTAGAGTATCTAACTAATTTGTAACTGGCGTCTCTACCAATACGTTTAGAATTCGCATAACCAACTTATAAAATGGTAAAGTGCACATTCAATTAACAACTCCTTTTTAGTTATCTATCTATCTAGACTAGAAGGACCGTACGCTACGTAGAACCGTTGATTGGTAGAACTACATTAAAATCGTCGTTACTTGAATTTGATTCGTTTTTCACTATCTTCTAGGGATCTCCAGGAACTGATTTTTATCACACTTCGTGTCAGTGTCAGACTGATTTCCGACACCTATCTTAAGTATTAAGGCCGGTTTCTCAATAGCGAGACACCTCCGGGTTGGTTATAACTCCAGGGTAAGCGTGTCCAGTTTCTATATTTACCTTGGAGTTAAGCTTAACCCGGGGGTGACCTGCTATTAAGGGCCATATTCTCCGTAGTTTATAAAGCTTAGCTTAGTGGAAAAGCTCAGCTTTGTCAAACAAAAAGCCAAGCGTTTCCACTAAGCCAGGCTTTATGAACTACGGAGAATATGGGCCTAAAAACCGGCCCTTAGGCAATCTATTACCTTAGCTGCTTTCGGGTGCCACCTTTTGAGCGCTCCCGAGTTACTCAGAAGTACTCCAGCAACAGTTAGACCCGTTCGGTATCAAGCGTTCGAATGCAAAACGCATGGAGAATGACAGGTCACTGACAGGTGTGAAGTGTTCCAGGAGCTTCGCACTCTGCACCCGAAAGCGTTCATAAAAAATTGCATTTTTGTCCATGGCCCTTAGCCGCTTTCGGGTGCAGAGTGCGAAGCTCCTGGAACACTTCTCACCTGTCAGTGACCTGTCATTCTCCATGCGTTTTGCACTCGAACGCTTGATACCGAACGGGTCAAACTGTTGCTGGAGTACTTCTGAGTAACTCAGGAGCGCTCAAAAGGTAGCAAGGTAGCACCCGAAAGCAGCTCTTATTGTTGTAGATGCCAAACATGACAATATGACAATGTCAAACCTAAATGTTCAGAATGTGACAAACACAGATTAACGTGACAAAATATAGTTATTTTCCTAACAAGTGCGCAAAGTGTTACTTTTCCGCACGCAAACACAGTTATACGAACGACGCGAAGCGGAGTTCGGATACGTGTTTGCGTGTGGAAAAGACACTTTGCGCACGTGTTAGGAACAAAATTTTTCCTACGAGCTTCATATCAGGTAGGTAACAACAAAAATTTTAAAAAAAAAACGATAATTTGTTCAATTAACGTGAAGCAAACCTATTCATTCATCAAAAAATTAGATAACAAAAAAAAAAGAACAGAAAATTCAAATCCTCGTCAGAGCTGTTCATCTTTAAGCGTTTAAATTTGATGCGAAAGAAGTTTGTAGATTCTTGCATATAAATGGAGAACACAAATCTGACAATATGTCAAAGTTATTTATATTCAGTGTTTGTATAGATGTTGGCTGACATAGAAACAGAGGAAAAATTTGTCATCATGTGTCAAAGTCGACAGGTGCACTTATTGTTGCTTGACATTTATTTTCACTTTTCGGCACTCAGTGCGGATAAGGCCCGTATCCGCACTGAGTGCGGAAAAGTGTAACTTTGAGAACGGTAATGCGTGCGGAAAAGTACTACTTTGCGCACGCTCGTAGGAAAATATTTTTTCCTACGAGCGTGCGCAAAGTATTACTTTTCCGCACGCATTTCGGTACTCAAAGTTACACTTTTCCGCACTCAGTGCGGATACAGGCCTTATCCGCACTGAGTGCCGAAAAGTAAAAATAATTGTCAAGCAACAATAAGTGCACCTGTCGACTTTGACACATGATGGCAAATTTTTCCTGTTTCTATATCAACCAACATCTATACAAACACCAAATTTAATTAACTTGGACACATTTTCAGATTTTGTTCTCTATTTATATGCAAGAATCTACAAACTTTCTCATCAAATTAAAACGCTTTAAGATGAATAGCTCTGACGAGGATTTTCTGTTATTTTTTTTTTTGTTATGTAATTTTTTTTATAAATGCATAGATTCGCTTCAAGCTTCAAGTTAATTCAAAATAATTGAACAAATTATTGTTTTTTTTTTTTAAATTTTTGTTTTTACCTACCTGATATGAAGTTCGTAGGAAAAATTTTGTTCCTAACACGTGCGCAAAGTGTCTTTTCCGCACGCAAACACTTATCCGAACTCCGCTTCGCGTCGTTCGTATAACTGTGTTTGCGTGCGGAAAAGTAACACTTTGCGCACTTGTTAGGAAAATAACTATTTCCTACAGCCGTGCGGAAAAATCGATTTTCCGCACTGATATGCGTGCGGAAAATGAGTTTTCCCGCACGGTGCGGTAAAACTTTTTTTTTTGACATATCAGTGCGGAAAAAGTTTTTCCGTTTCCGTTAAGGGCGGTAAAGGCACTTTCCGCATGCGTTAGGTACAAAATTTTACCTATGAGCATCTACATCTCCAAAAAAAGACATTGATAAAATTAATTAATGAATCAGATTTATTAATGAAATAAGATTAGATTTAGAAATGATCAAAAATCCATTTTCTGAAAAAGAAAGGAATTTTGAAAATTAATATCAAATTCTACTTTACCGCACACTATGCGGTAAAGTGCACTTTACCGCACACTTTGTAGCCCACTTTACCGCATACTATGCTGTAAAGTTAACTTTACCGCACACTATGCGGTAAAGTTAACTTTACAGCATAGTATGCGGTAAAGTGCTACTTTCCATTTTCAAATACGTCTGGTAAAGTGCACTTTACCGCACGCTCGTAGGTAAAAAATTTTACCACACTGAAATGTTAAAAAAAAAGAAAAATTTTACATTTTTTCGCCTGTAGGAAAAATATTGTACCTAACACTTGCGGAAAATATTTTTCCGCACTTGTTAGGTAAATAGCTATTTCCGCAAACGTCAAAAAGTTACGACTTTTTTAACCTCAATTCCTAATGTTGAAGTTTAACTTCACAGAGGTCATTTTTTTGGTTACTTTTTTGTCCGCGCGTTCCGTGAGCATACAAAATAGTTATTTTTGTCACAAGTACCTAAAATGAAGTTTTTCAGGACGAATCATTGCTGTTTCCGGACGAGGCGTTAGCCAAGCACTCTCAAACCACCATCCAAGGCAAAAACGTGGAATTATAACAACGTTAAAAGGTGCCGTTTCGCTGACGCGTCTGGCGGTGGCAACTGATCCCTGCGTCTTTTGCAACCTCAGACGCAGCTGCCGGTCGCAGCGACAAGTGGTTTGGTTGGCGCGTCTCATCCTCATCTCTTTTAATATTAATCGTACATCTTGAAGTTTAAAAATAAATTTATAACATGTGCAAGGGGTATCTTAAGGTTTTGGTTCCTGTCTGATAACAAATAAATAGGTAATATCCTCTCTATTTAAAATGTAGCTATTTTTCCTACAAAAGTCGCCTAGCAGCGCGTCTAGACTGGTCTACCTAGCAGTCGATTCGCGAACGCTGCGACTGGGTCGCTAGTAGCCGCGACTGAAACGCTCCAGCGGAACCAGGAGTACACAATCGCATTAAAGCAGTCGTTCGGACGCGAACGCAGTCGCGAGTCGCCGACGCCAGACGCGCCTGCGAAACCATACCTTAACAGAACGTGGTCGGAACATCTGCGAGCCACAATATCTCGAGCAAGAACTGGATCATCTCAAGTCGGCCTTTCTATCGAATGGTTACAATGCATCTGAAATCGACAGGGCCATGCGACCCAAAACTGCCACACGACAAAACGTGGATGAACAACCAGTCGTGGCTAATGCATATCTGCCTTTCATTTCTCAGGTGTTAGACAGGATAGGGAAAGTCTAGAAGAAACACAACAAACCAATCTTCAAGCCAAGAAGGAAAATACAGCAATCAATCAGATCACCCAGGGATAAGAGGAACCTACTGTCAAGCGCTGGAGTCTATCGTATACCATGCACATCATGTGATAAGGTATACATAGGATTTAGGAACGACAAAAAGACCCATGGGAACGCGGATGAACGAGCACAAAAGAAACTGCAGACTAAGACAATCGGAAAAATCGGCAGTTGCGGAACATGCGCTTAGTGAAGGGAATCATGAAATACTCTTTGGTGAAGTGAAGCTTCTTGCACCGACTTCCGGATACCACAATCGTCTAGTACGTGAAGCTATAGAAATCCACAAACATACGGAGGACTTCAACAGGAAAACCCGATCCTCAA